GGAGAGAGAGAGAGGGAGAGAGAAGAGGGAGAGAGGGAGAGGGAGAGAGAGAGAGAGAGAGAGAGAGAGAGAGAGAGAGAGAGAGAGAGAGAGAGAGAGAATCATATGGGACTGTTCAGGGGCTTCCGGGGTGCAGCCCTTTCTGGTTCACTTATTAATCAAAAAGCTGGCACCTTAGGCTCACACTTCGAGGAGGCGGGTCTTTGAGGACCAAAGGCCCAGGATGTCTAACTTCCTTTACATGGACTTCCCCGGAAAGTTCGAGAAGGAGAGGACTCAAAAAAGATGACCGGAAGACTAAGGGTATGATGTGTGAAGATCAGGGAGAGAGAGAGAGAGAGAGAGAGAGAGAGAGAGAGAGAGAGAGAGAGATCGCTCTAGAAATTTAGAAGGAAAGGAGAAAAGAGAAAAAGCGAGAGGGGAAAGAGAGAAGAAATGGAAAGAGGAGAAATTTAAAAAACTGAAAAGAAAGCAGAGGAAAGAAACGAAAATGGATAAGAGATGAGAAAAATCGGGGTGGTGGTGGTTTATAATTTATTCCCTTGCCTGGTTCAAGACCCGAGTCTCTGGCCTCCAAAGGATCTCAAAAGCAACTTGTTGAGAAGGAATCCCCCGAAGGGCCCCGGAGCAGACAGTACTCCACTTTGTCCCGCCGGCCAGTTCTGCTGCTCCTGCGTGGGTGGTGTGGCCCTCTTCTAGGACCGGGTACCGACTCCAGCACCTAGCGCCCTCCGGCACCGTCTCTCAAGTCCCCGCACCGAGCTCGGAAAGCAAGTGCCGGGAGCGGAGTTCTAGGAGCCCAGGTCCACAAGGTTGGCAGACATGGGGTTGAGCATAGAGTCCTGCAGGCTGTGATGGTGCTGCAGTGGGTCCGTGCCGCCTCCACCCGGCACTGGCACGGGGACTGCGCTCGGGCCGGGAGGGTGGCCTAGGCTGTGCAGGGAGGGCAGCCCAGGGGGCGGCGGCGGGCTGAGCAGCAGAGCAGGGCTGGACGACGAGTGGTCTGGCGTGCCCGACGGCGTCTTCTCGTCCTCGGAGCTGCCTAGCACCGACTTGCCGCTGCCGTTGAGCGAGGAAGCCAGCGGGTTGTGGCTGCCGGAATTGGAGTTCTCGCTGTTCTCCCTGGAAGCGCAGGAGTAAAGCAGTGGGGTCAGTGGGAAACCGAGGCCCCTCGGAGCCACCCCTCAGGACGCCAGCGCCTGAGGCCCGTCTCAGGACTCGGTGCCTCTGCGGTTGGGTTGCTAAAGAGCGTTTTCGGTTTCTACCAGTTTTGACACCCTGCGTTTGGTTCTTTGCGGCGTTCGCAACCTTTCTGGTTTTTTCTTGTCCTTCTCCCGGGATCAGCCCACATTCTTAATCTCCTGACTACCTTTCCCGGTCTCTCTGTATGTGTGGTCCTAGTCTCCCACTCCATTTCTCCCCATCTGGAGCCGAGGCACCAAAGCGGGGTGCCTGGAGTTGAGGGGGATGAGAAGGTAGAGCCTGGATTTTCAAATCACTTAGGCTGGACAAACTAGGTTTGCTGGGTAGCAGTGGGGACAGAAACTCCAGGTACAGCGATCCCAGCTGAGGGGCCCACTTGGAGTTGGGTAAGCACAGGCCTCCTGTCCTTTGCTTTTCTCTGCCCGAGGGAAACTCCCATAGCAGATAGGCTTGGGCTCCTGAGAATTCCTTCCCTGATTCCAAACTGAGCAGGCTCTGTGAGCTCGATTTGACTGGGCATAAGGATCAGGCTTAGAGAATGGAGGCTTTCTCCCTCCCTAGCCATCTCCTGAAATATTTAGCCAGGGGACTGGGAAGCCACCCCTGGCGGAAGCTAGAAGGAAGATCAGGGTGGTTAGCGCTGGCCTGGATCTTTCTGTCATAACCAGAGACCCAGGGACAAAATCTGCATTTCTCACCTGGGGCCTGGTCAGAAACCCTCACTGTACTCGGTGCCAGCCTGAGAGTGAACCCAGCGTCGAGAGCCCACCTCCTGCCCTGCTTTTGTGGACAGTCGCTGCCCGGATGTGCGTATTTGAAATCCTGGGTAAAATCTCCGTGTGGATTCCTAACAGCTGTTCTTTCTGATCTCTTTGAGAGAGCATCCACAGGGCTTGCAGTTAGTTGTGCGAGTGAGACCTCATCACCGCGGATAGTCCAACTTCAGGGTTTCAAATACTCAGATCCAGTCTGCAGCCTGCTCATCTTTCACACTGTTCAGCACCCTTCCCTGGGACTAGGATCACTGACACTCCGTGTTGAACACACCTCACACCACCTAACCCAGGTGTCTTGTTTTGCCGTTACCCGAAGGAGAGACTCTGTTCCCACACCCCGTTTCTCTCTAGTTCGCTCGTGGAGATTAAAGTTCGGGAGCAGGTTGCAGGCGGTCACACCAGGGCCTCAGCGCTTAGGTTAGTTCGGCATTCCGAGAGGAGAGGAAATACAACTCCCAGCCCTTCCGCAGATCTCAGTTTACCTTACACACCCGACTTGCCCGTCAAAGAGAGCAGGACCCGAGGAGAGAAAGGCCAAGGGTCTAACAAGTCCTGGAAGGCTTGCTGGATTCAGCAGGCCTGAAAAGAGGTGTGTGCTTGTCTTCTCTTCCACAGCTGACACTTCCTCCCCGGGGCCCTTCATTTCTCTGTCCTTTCCACGCGGGATAATTCCCAACTCCCTTGCCCTCGGCTCTTCCGTCCAGACAAGGAATATCCTTGCCCAGATATTGCCTTGCCCAGATAATACTTGGGAGGCTCCAACCCCAGCTCTGACCCCCTAAAAAAAAACTTACTTTGACTCGGAGGTGACTTCTCTGATCCCCGAGGAAGAGCAGGCCCTGAGCCTATCCCTACCTTGCAGGGGGATCCAGGCCCAAAGTCCTGTCCTCTCTGCAACTCTTCCCCCCCGCGCCCCCCATCTAGTCCACAAGCAACTAGGGAATTAGTTGAGAACTTACGCACTACTTTGCCCGCTTTAGACAAAGTCCTGGCCGCTCGCTCAGACTCCAGCAAAACCTAAGCGCTGTTTTGAGCCAGGCTGGGCTGCAGCCCAGAGCGTAGCATGGACCCGGGGCCAGTTTAACCGCCTCCAGGAGCAGCACATCATCCCCCGACCCTCGGGACCAGGGAACTTGGCGCCGATGCTCTACTTACTCGTACCTTTCCTTAGCCTCGGCCGCCCGGTCGCGCTGCCGCCGGTTTTTGAACCAGTTGCTGACCTGCGTGGTGGTGAGGCCGGTGGCCTCCGCCAGCTCGCGCTTCTCCCGCGGCGACGGGTAGGGGTTGTGCGCGTACCACTCGCGCAGCACGCTGCGGCTCTTCTCCTTGAAGCAGTAGCTGGTCTCCTCGCCGTCCCAGATGGAGCGCGGCAGCGGGAACTTGCGCCGCACGCGGTACTTGCCCACGGCGCCCAGGGGCCGGCCGCGCAGTTTCTCCGCCTCGATGTAGTGCGCTTTGAGCCACAGCTGCTGCAGCTTGGCGTGGTTGTGCGGCGAGAACTGGTGGCTCTCCAGGATCTTGTAGAGCTCGCGGAAGTTGCC